CAGGTAAAAATTTTATATAAATATTAAAACAGAACCTGAAACATGTTGTTACTCAGAGTTTCACGTTGTGCGATCTTCAGACAACTAAAACAGAACCTGAAACATGTTGTTACTCAGAGTTTCACACTGTGAGATCTTCAGACAACTAAAACAGAACCTGAAACATGTTGTTACTCAGAGTTTCACGCTATGCAATCTTCACCCTGCTAAAACAAAACCTGAAACATGTTGTTGATGCTGCTGTCCTGGCAAAATTTCCCTCATTGTACACTGCATGGCATTGCTTGTCTTCATTAGCCCAATTAGGTGCAGAACAGAAGGATGTAAAACTCCATTCATTTCATTTCATTTGTAACAGTAATTGGTGTTAACGCCGTCTTGGCAAAATTTCCCTCATTGTACACTGCATGGCTATTTCATTTCGTACAGTGTCGGTGGTGCCACTATCCTGGCAAAATTTCCCTTATTGTACACTGCATGGCTATTTCATTTCTTACAGTATTGGTGTTGCCCCATTCCTGACAAAATTTCTCTCATTGTACACTGCATGGCTATTTCATTTCTTACAGTATTGGTGTTGCCCCATTCCTGACAAAATTTCTCTCATTGTACACTGCATGGCTATTTCATTTCTTACAGTATTGGTGTTGCCCCATTCCTGACAAAATTTCCCTCATTGTACACTGCATGGCTATTTTATTTCTTACAGTGTTGGTGGTGCCGCTGTCCTTACAAAATTTCCCTCATTGTACACTGCATGGCTATTTCATTTCTTACAGTATTGGTGGTACCACTATCCTGACAAAATTTCCCTCATTGCACACTGCAAGGCTATTTCATTTCTTACAGTATTGGTGGTGTAGTGATTGTTAGTATCTCTGATAAAAGTTTTGAAGATAATATTCCAGTCGGGGCGTTATGGGCGTTATTAAGTTCGATATTATACGCCCTATATCTGGTCTCGCTACGAAGAAAAGTGGATCACGAGGACAAACTAGATATACCCATGTTTTTTGGTGAGTAAGAAAAAAAAACTTGTAAATAATATTTTCATCTGTTACCTCCCCTTTAATGTTCGTCAATTGACCTTTTGACCTAACTCAATGACGTCTGGTGTCATCAATTGTCAAGGTATCTTTACAAAAATGAAATGAAATGAATGGAGTTTTACGTCCTACTTTTCTGCACCTAATTAGGTTAATGAAGACGGGCAACGCCATGCAGTGTGCAGTGAGGGAAATTTTGCCAGGAAATCGGCATTAGGCTGCTCTTTTTCGATTTCCAACTGTTGAGGGATGTTTAACATGTGCAGCCTGTAGCACATGGAACCTCGGTTTAATAGGTACTATGGGTTTGATCCTCATCAGAGTCAGAAAAAAAAGATTCTGATGCCACGGTGTGTGCTTTTGGGTGTCATCGTTGCAGCCCTACAAGACAACTATCAAAAATATTAGAATGAAAAACTTTTTTAATTATTGATAAAATTTTTGATTTCAGGATAATTAAAAATTCTGATGCAACAGCCAGTGCTTTCGAGAGTTGCTCAACGATAAATTCTGAACATTTTTTTTTTATTTCAGGTTTTGTTGGAATAATTTGTAGTGTAATAATATGGCCAGGGTTTCTGATTCTTCACTATTCTAAAACGGAGATATTTATATGGCCAACACGGTCTCAATGGTTGTATATTACAGTCAACGGATTAATAGGCACCGTTTTCTCAGAGTTCTTATGGCTGTGGTATGTTTCTTATTTTTTTGCCGCTTATAACAAGTGTCTTGTGACGTCATTATCGCAAAAACTGAAAATAAAAGGGCGCTATGACGTCACAATTGCAAAAACTGCTAGTTATATCTAAGGGCCTATGCTATAATGACGTCATAAAACACTTAGTTTTAGTAGAATTGCAGGAACCACAGACATCTGATTGAAAATTAGAATGATGTAAATTGATGCTATCAGTGTCCCTGATACACATACAAAATTTAGAAAACCTCTTTACAATCTCTTTAACAAGAACCACAGACGTCTGATTGAAAATTAGAATGGTGTAAATTGATGCTATCAGTGTCCCTGATACACATAAAAAATTTAGAAAACCTTTACAATTTTTTTGTGTACTACAGGCTGTACACGTTAAAAATCCCTCGACAGTGAAAATCAAGAAAAAGGA